AGAAGAAGCGTAATAAGAAGAAGACGAATAATAATAAGAAAAAGAAGAAGAATAAGAAGAATAATAATAAGCAGAATAATAATAATAATAAGAATAAGAAGAATAAGAAGAATAATAAGAAGAATAATACGAACAATAATAATAATAAGAATAATAAGAATAGTAAGAAGAATAATAAGAATAATAATAAGAATAATAAGAAAAATAGTAATAATAATAATAATAATAAGAATAAGAGGAATAATAATAAGAATAAGAAGAAGAAAAATAATAAGAAGAATAATAATAATAAGAATAGTAGTAATAAGAATAATAATAGTAGTAATAAGAATAAGAATAATAATAATAATAAGAGAATAATAATCAAATAAATATAATAAGAAGAAGCATATAAGAAAGACTACTAATACGAATATACTAATACGGTTCCAGTTCGGTAGAAGGAGAAGAGAGAAGAAGATAAGAAGAAGAGGTAGGAGGGAGGAGGAAGAAGGAGGAGGAGGAGGAGGGGATGGGGTAAGGGGGAGGTAGGAGGAGGGAGGAGGGAGGAGGAGGAGGAGGGTGGGAGAGGAGGAGAAGGGGAGGAGGTGGAGGAGGTGGAGGTGGTGGAGGAGGAGGAGTAAAGGAGGAGGGAGGAGGAGGAGGAAATGGGGGAAGGGGACGAGGAAAGGAGGCGGGAGGAGGAGGAGGCTTCCTCCTCCTCCCTCCCTTCTTTCTCCGTGCCGCCTGCCGCCCGCCCCAAAGCGACAGGCGGATGCGAGTGCGGAGGCCAGCCACGCAAGGGTGCTCGTCTACACCGCGGACCCGCGCTGCCTGCCCGGTGCCGCCGGGATCGTGGCGCTGTGCGGGCTGCAGGACCTCCCTGGCCTGCTGCCTGCCCATACCTCCAACGTGATGACAAGAATTCGGACGGAGGTTTTCCTTCGCTTTCGGCGTCGTGGGGGCCTTCGTCGGGTCCCAGGGCCGTGGAGCAGACGATCTGGGACGAAAAACCAGTCCCGGGGAAGGGGTTCGGAGTTCCGGGGACCCCGTGTTGAATAGCTCGCGACGTCGGACCTCCCTGGCCTGCCGCCTACGCCTGACATGGTCTAGCCGCGAAAACATGGCACGACGGGAGGCTTTCCTGATATTCTCGGCCTTCAGGGTCCCTTCTCGGCCTTCAGGGTCCGTCGCCAGGCCCTGGGGCCGTCAAGACGACCTCCTTCGCCTGCCGCCTGCTTCTCTGCTGCCGCCCCTGCTCCCCTGGCATCTCCGACGATGCGTCTTTTCGATCTTGGCGTTTTTCCTCGATCTCTTCCTCCAGGGTCTGTGGTCGGGCCCCGGGGCGATCTCCAACGTATTGACAGATCAAGACGGAGCTTACGGTAGGTTTGCGCCGTGTCGACCAGCGGCGACCCCAGCGCGGGCGTTCAAGGTTGAACGCCGCCGGCGACCAAGAATCGATCGATGTTGAACGATCGGACGTTGCGGCAGCGGCCGATCGTTCAAGGTTGAACGATCCCCGCGGTGTCAGAAACCAACGCCCAGGTCGACACGGCACGAACCTGCCGTACTCCGGATTCCATAACAAAGTGGGGGGGGTCACATTCGGGGGGGGGTCTAATTTGATCTGTCTTGGAGGGTTCGGGGGGGGTCTGGGCAAAGGGCCGCCCTTTCATGGATAGTCTGGGGGGTCTGAAACTTCTCGTCTGGGAGGGTTGTGACCCCCTCCATTTTGTTACGAAATCTGGAGTATCCACGCCAAGCCCCAGGGCCGTCACAAAGTGATTCGGGGCGAGAAACCGGTGCCCGGGGAATGGGTCGAGACCTCTGGGGGTCAGCGTCTTGAAAAATCACGACGTCGGGGGTCTCGGTATTTCTCCTGCTGCTGCCCTTATCTCCTTTGCATCCCTGTCCTGTTCCGCCTGTTCTGCTGCTGCTGTTGCTTTGGGCTCGTCTGTGCGGACAAGCTTCGATGCGACGACCTGTACACGAGAAGGGATACCAGCGGACCGCTATTGGGACGCGGGCGCGGCGGCGGAGGAGACGAATATCGCAGTGGCTCTGCCCAACAGGGCTGCAACCTGCTGCCGACAGCCGCGAGGCGGCGACCTGACGCCCCCCCCGCGCCATGGAGACGGCTGCTGTTGCTTTTGCTGCTGCTCCTGTTCCTCCTGGCCTGACATCCGCACAGCAGAGGCGCTTTCGCCCCTGGCTCGAAACGTCCCGCGTCAGGGTGGGGTCGGCTGCGACAGCTCCGGCCGTGATCTCTTCGCGGCGTAGTGATCTTCTGCAGATGCCTGGGGCTGTCTGGAATCTCTGGGCTCCCCTTCCCGCTGCCCCCTCCTTCTTCCACCACCATCCCTGTTCCGGGCCGGCTGCAATTTTTCAGAGTTCGTCGTCAGTTCTTCGGCGTTGCAGCGCTCCCCCCCCCAGCGGGAGCGCATCGCATCAGGGGACTCGCAACCCGCAACCCGTCCCCCCGTCCCGCTGGTTGTCGGCCTGGTCTGTCCTCTCCTGTCGCCGCCCCTCCCTCTCCTCCTCCCCCCTGCTCGCTCTCCGGCTCCCCGCTCTCCGGGCCGCCCCTGCTCCGCCCCTGGCCCGCCCCTCCTGCCTGCCGGCCCGCCCCGCGGCCCGAGCCAGAGCTGCGTCGGCAGGAGCCGGCACCCCGTCGTGTGCAGGATGGCCCAGCGCGGGGCGCTCCGGGGCTGCGTCAGCAGAGAAGCCGGAGCCCGTGCCCTGGTCCTCGTGCAGCCCAGTGGCGCGGGTGTGGTCCCGTGGCGCGGCCGCGGGTGCCCCGCCACCTCGCCGTCGTGCGGCAGGGCAGGGGCTGGCGGGCGGGGCGGCCCCGGGGGGGGGGGGGAGGCCGCGGGGCCCTCCCCACCCCGGGGCGAGCGCCGTCTTGGGCCCCGGTGCGCTTGGGACACGCAGGGACGGATGGGGCATCAGGGGCCAGTCCCGGGGAAGGGGTCGAGAAATCGGGGGCACATTTGTGCAACAGGTCGAGCGCCCAGATGCCGTCAGCCGCGCCCCTTCCATGTCCCCTCGGGGCGCCTGGAGAAGTGGTGGACGCTCCGTGCCCTCCCCTGCCACGCCGTGATTGCCGGCTGCCCCGTCCACATACACGTATCCCACTAGGGCGGCACCCAGGGCCGAAGACGTGCCTTCACCATGGCGGCGGGGCGAGAGTCTGCGAAGAGGACCGCGCCTCGCGCGGCGCGGATCCCGAAGCTTGGCGAAGCGCGAAGCGCGAAGCTCGAGACTCGAGATTTGGCCCCAGCTGGGCGGCCACGCCGCGACGCCGTGACGCGCCGCGGCGCCGTGCAGTGCCGTCCCGGTGGCGCCCACGCAGGACGACGCCGCCCGCCCATCGCTGGGGGAGCTGACCGGCGCGCTCGGCGCCGCCGCCGCGCTGTTCGAAGGCCCCCCTGCGGCCCCCGTCGTGCGGGCCCTGGAGGCGCTGGCCGGGCGTCGCGGCGGTGCGGAGGCGTTGGCAGCCGCCGCCGCTGCCGCCGCAGCCGTCGCCGCCGCCGCTGGCGACCGCATGTATTGGAGAGGCGTGCGCACGCAGGCGGCGCGTTGGCTGCGGCACGCGCCCGCCGCCCCCTGGGCGGATGCGCCCATCGGTCGGGAGCTTCATCGTGCGTTGTGTGTGTGTGTGTGTGTGTGTGTGTGTGTGTGTGTGTGGGTGTGTTGGGTGCGCCGACAGGGCGCCGCCTCTGCGCGCCGCCGCGCCGCCGCTGTTTCGCGACGCCGAACCCAAGGTGCTGCCGCCGCCGCGCCGCGGCGCCACCGCGTCGCCGTCGTGAGACGCCGAGGGCAACGCGCCGCCGCCGCGCGCGTTCGCGCCGCTGCCGCCGCCGCGCCGCCGCCGCCAAAACGCTGAGGGCGCGGCGCCTCGCCCGATGCGCTGCCTGATGCGCTGCCCGAGGC